CTTTAATTAAGAACCAAAATTTAATAGTATTAATGCCCCTTTATATGCAAGCTACAGTGCCACATTTCGTTTCTTAAACTTTACCCATTCTAAAATATTGTTTAATATCTCAGAACAGAAAATAAAGAAATTAAACAAATTAGATACAACACACACACACGCAAATTTTTCCCCTTTTATTGACTTTTTTTGAGAGGTTCCGGTGGTCTCCAAACGTGTAGATTAAAAAAAAAAAAAAAAAACTTGGAGGGTCAAATTTGACACGATTTCAATACTTTTCTGTTTTATATACATAACAAGTTGGTAAGTAAAAAGGAGTCGGAGTCGGCGGATTTTTTGACGACTCCGACTCCAGCTAAAACATCAAAACTCCACAACTCCAACTCCACAACCCTGATTAAAATATTTATAATTAGTTCAGTGCATTTTATTTATTATGGTTGTTATGTTTTTGTTTGCAGCAATGATAAATTAAATTGCTTTATTAATTATTGTGTTTAACATTTGTAATAGTGAACTTTATTTTGTAAAACTGATAATTGTATGAATGGAAAATTATCAAAATATTTTAATGTTAAAATATACACTCAGAATTTAGTGAATGAGCAGTATATTTCAACTAGATAGTTCTGTGTCAAGCATGATGGAGAACTGTGTAGTTAATGGTCTGAATTTTTGTCAGATCAGGTCAGTTGGACTCCTTTGTTAATATGTTACCATAACATGGGGAAAAGGCTAAATGTATTAATCTTATTCTTTTAGATATGGAATTTGCTTGAATGTATTCATAGAATATAGCATGTATAAGTTATATATTTTGAAATTCTTAAAGTTATTTGATATTGCAGGTAATAGTGCAGATTTAAGATTAGTTAGAACCTATTTGGAATTAGGACTTCCAACTGTTAATTTTGAGTTTCTTATGTCGGAGCGTAATCAGGTATGTAAATTAAATAAAAACATATAATTTAATCTTTCTTACAAATTTATTAATACGTTTTTTTAATCTGTTGAATATTTATAAATAAAAAATTTATAAAATATTGAAAATAAAGTAATTACCAAAGTAAATGAAACAAAAATAATCATATGACTCCTTGAATTGTATTAAAAAAAATCAATGCAGTCTTTGGCCTATTAAATGCTTTAAGGAATATTTTCCCCTCATTCTCAGAATCTATATTATAAAAAAAGTAAAGAAAAATAAAACAGCTTTTCTAAAAGAAGTTACAAATTTAAATATATGTGAGGTTTGCCGATTGGGGAGAAAGCGTCGTGACAGTTGAGCGGTCAGCACTGTCGTGTGGGAGTGAAAAAACTTACTGAGACAGGTTCTCCATTGTATATCGTTTAATAAATATAAAAATTTTTCTTACAACAAATCCTTAAAACGGCGTAACACCTATCCAAGTCAAGCAACAAGTTCGTAACACTAAAAGTTCAACTGTTCTGACGATAGTTTTTCTTCCGGCGATGGAGGTGTGAAGACGTTGACTCCGGGCTGCACAACACTATTTGAACCAAGGTCTTCTATCTACAAGGTGGACTTTAGCGATCTTGATGGCTTGGGAGGGTGAAGACAAGTCCTTTGAATATCTGACAAGTTCTCGTGGGAGAATGTCCGGATGACAAGAATCCTGGAGAGGAGCACTGCGAACCAAAGGCCAAGAACAACGAACCAAGAACGTCACATCCTTTTTTTTGCACAGTTTTTATAAGTTTTTTCTGAGTCCCAGATCGAACATTCTGATAGGTTGATGCCAATCTACCCCTGCTCTCTAATTGGTCCCCCTCCTCGTTACGAATTGTAACAAGATCGGTGCCCAGATCGCGGGGTGAGTCAACTCCGATTGACAATTTGATTACTATCGAAGACGTTCGATCTAAGTACTCAAATTCATCCATTGTTTTAATCTGAGTAGTTCGACTTTCTTAGAAATTTTTACAGATATGTCCTTATATGGACAAAAAAAATTCATTTTGCGTTTGATGGTTTCTTTTTACAATATTATAAGAATAATAATTATAATTATAAATTTTTTTTCCTATGAAATTAAAACATTTTCTGTGCACGAATTTCGACCCACTTCCGGAGCCTCACATATAATTACAACAATTTTAATTTTGTACAAAATAGCATACTAATTCATAATAAAACTGTTGGAAATGGCAATTTTTTTTTCTTATATTAGAACTATAGCCTTGTTTCTTGTTTTTACTAGTTTGTGTTATAGTTCCTATAAATGCCTAAAGATTATTTTCCTTTTTTTATATCCAGATTACTTTTGCAATTCTATTCACTTGGATATACTATAAGGATAGTCTAGCCTTGTTGACTATAACATTATCAAATTGCTGTATCTCATTTAATTGTAATATATAATATAATATATTACAATTAATAGTAATATTTTTGTGGGTTGTGAAAACATAATTAAATTTTGATTAAGAACTGTTTAACAACACTAATGAAACTTTATAATTATTCACTTTATATTTGTTTTTAAGATATTTGAATATCTGAACAAAATATTCATATGATCAGTTTTTCTATGATTATCTTATGAGTTTAGTTATTTTATTTCTGGACATGTAAGTTGATCTTATTACAAATAAAAACTTACTGTTTTCCTGTACTAAATACTTTTAAAATTAAGATATTATAGCTTTTGTTGATATTGTATGTTGTTAAGAATTTTCACTATAATGAAATATATATGTGTATATTAATTGATTAAAAAGTTTTAATTTTTAGGGTGAAACTTTTGATGACTTTGAAACAATGACTGACAGATTGGTATCAGAAATCACTTATCACATAGAAGTTTATGGATTGAAGCCATCAAAAATTAGGTTGGATTATGCCTTTGAATATTTTATTATTTGATTTTGTAATTCTTATAGAAAAATATAAAAGTTTAAAATTAATGTTAACTTTTAAAATCTTATGTTTTAATTATAAATGTTATAAATCTTATTAAATTATTGCAACTTAAATGAATCATTAATAGCATAATAATAATCTAATATATTTCATTAAATTATTAAATGTTTGGTATTAATTATAAATTTTGATGAAAATATTTATGAAAACTTTGTAAAAAATATAAAAATAAATGTAATTTTTGTATATGTAATAAGCTGACTCAACTACTTTACTACAAATTCTTTTATTAACTTAGAATAATTCATGTTGTTACATTTCAAAGTTGATGCATGATTTTGAATTTCAATTGAGTTTTTATTCGATTAGAGATTTACTTTTTTTTTATTTCTCTGTGTGTAAGAAAATAAAATAGAAAAATTCTTTAAAAGTTTAAAATCCCAGCAATAAAATTAATCTAATCTTTTTGCCTTTTTGAAAGCCACCTTTTAGATTTCTCAAACATGTTCTGTTTTATATACAACACTGGAAGTTTATATACAATATAAAGGCCTTTATATATATATATATATATGAATATGAAGATCTATATATATATATGGTAATATATATGATAAGCCCCTCATGTATATGTCTAATTGATCTAGACTTGAAATAAAATGAAGATCTTGAAGATCTACATATACAGTCAATTCTGCTTAAGAGAGATCCATGGGGATTGCTGTGTCATGTTCCCTTAACTGAAATAACAAGGTCAATTGGGTTTATTTATATTATCCAAATCTCTCCACTCTTTCTTGTCTTTGGAGTTCTATGTAACTTATGTATTGATTTTGTTCTTATATCATAAGTAACAGATCCAGGAGAACCCAAAGGAGGGACTAATTAAAAATTTAAAATATTTGAATAATTAGTAAGAATCTTCTATTAACATGTATATGACAATTGTATTGTGGATGGTTTGATAAATGATATTTGACATCATAAATGCTTTTAAAAACAATGTTTTGAAGATTGAACAAATAAATTATAATTTTTTTTTGTGTGTGTACTGGGAGGGCTTAAGCCCTGTTCAGTCAATTTCTGTTATGGCTTGGCTATTTCAATATTTATTGTGTATTGGGCTCTATTGTAAAACAGTTATTAAAAAAAGGAAAATTTAATTCTGTTTCCTAATTTTGGTTTTATAAATATCTTCTATTAAGTCGTATTTTTAATTATGTTAATTTAAATTTTTTACTTTAGTTTGTTATAAATTATTGGGTTGCAATTTTTTCAAATTTCAGCCCAATATATAAATTCTCACTGTTGTTCTTCTGTTTGTCTTTTCTTAATCTCGAGAATGGTGTTAGGTAAATGAAATTGGAGACCAGATATGGAAAGCTTAGGGGCAGGAGGTCCCTATTAACTAACTATATACAAACTTTTTATGCAAACTGGAAGTTGCATTATTTCAATTCAAAAAATTTTCCCCTGGAAGGAGTTAGTTAAATGACCAGTACGACTCCATTGCTAATGGAAAAGTATGATATACAGGAGCAAGACACTACAGTACTAGTTTGAGGTGAAGAGCATGCATTTTAAATTAAATAAATTAAAAATATGATTAAAAATTGCAGCTCAGCATTGTGATAATGTCACAATAAATAATTGCTCATTACTTATTTATTTATATTTGTTAGTAATTTGTTTTAAAAAATTGATATGTTAAAATTTAGGATTTTATAATTTTTTTTATATTGAAATTTTAACATTTTATTTTTTACCATTTTAAATTATATTTCTTACATGATAATTAATTTAGCAAAGACAGTTTTAATTAGAAGTCTTGTGTAGTTTATGATAATATTTATAAATGTAATAAAATTAGTATCTCAGTAAGTAAATAAACAAACTCGGAGTCAAGAAAAATTTCAGAGTTTTTAAAGAGAAAACGTGAGAGAGAAATCCCAACTTTAAAGAAGTTAATATTTCTTTGATGTTTTAATATTATTTCAGATAAATTTAAATATGTTTAATAGGTTTCTCCCAATTCAAAGAACATCTTAGTGTTTCAAAGTTGTTTGATAAAAATTAATCATTAAATTAGGGTTTAAGTTTTAGTATGGTCTTTTAAAAAAAGACAAATGTATTTAAAAGTTATTTCTATAATTTATAACTTTATTTATTTTAAATTTTATCTGTTTAAAAACTTTTCAGTTTTATTGGACATTCACTTGGAAATATTATAATTCGTTCAGCTCTTGCAAGGCCAGAGATGAAACCATATTTGAATCAACTTCATACTTTTCTGTCTTTATCAGGTCCTCATTTGGGTACACTCTATAACAACAGTGGACTTGTAAATATGGGTAAAAATTATATTCTTAATTTATATCATATTTAAAATAACATAATTTATATCTTATGTTACTTTAGATTTTAAATTAAAGTGTCGTTATTTTTCTTAATTTTATTAGTGTTGAAATTGAATTCTATGATGATTGTGAATAAAATTATATTTTCTTATACTTTTTAAGAATTTTGTTTTTAATTCTTTTTTCCCTGTGGGCACTAAGAGGACCTCCTTTAGCAAGCCCATTATGAGTTTAGCCAGGCCCGCAGTCCCTCACCATCCAGCTCATGGGTTGGCTGGGTGGTGAGGGATGGAGCTCAATATATCCAGACGGGCCACCTTCAAAAAATTCCTGGGGATNATCTCAGTTTCGGAACGGATTAATTTTGTATCCTGAGATACCACTGTAGTCCATTTAATCTTATCTAACATTTACTGTAATGAACATCATAGTGAACACATCTGATAGCTCCTTCAACTGTACATAACTGTCTAGCATGTTACAGGAGAGTTTTAATAAGGAGACTAACTATGTAATCTCTAGAAAATCTTACAATCCTCATAAGATGCTAGACAAACCAATTATTTCATTATCAAATTCTCTTCCATCCATTAATGTGTCATCTTCATGTAGTCATTTATGTGGTAAATGACTATGATCAAATAATGAAAATATTGATGGGTAAAAGCTTATTAACAGTAAGTGTACTGTTACATATATTGTTTTTTAATTTTGCTAATTGTTTCTATTTTCTTAAATAATTAGAGGTATAATGAACACATAATGAACAAAAGCTTATAACAAGCTCTAGTAGATCTCATTTGCAAATTGAGAAATGTCTGTATATTTCTGTTTGTTGGATATAATTTTTTATAATTATTTTTGAGCAACATGTGTGTTTAAATCTTCTAGGTAAGAACATTAAATAAGAGTAGAAAATTTGCAAATGAAAATATAAGATTTTTGTTTGCAAATTGATAGTTGACTAAAATAGCATATAAGAGAGAGAAGGATTGGATAAAATGTAATAAATTTAGAAAAAGAAAACATTTAAAAAAGAAGTAAAAATGTTATTAATTGAAGGGATATAAAATTGTTAGAGGTGATTTTTCTGAAAAAATTAACAGACGAAAAAAATTTTTTCCATAAATTCAATTTTTATAAAGAGAGATACTTGACTAGAAAGACAATTGTACTTTTGATATGAAAATGAATAGTTTAAAAGAAAATGATAAAAAGAAACTAATATTTAATGAAAAACATAAATATTTCAAAAATTTTAAACTACTAGACTTTGATTTAAAAGGCTTTGAACAGATGTATACAAAGTATTTTTAATATTGTTTAAATAAATAACATTAATAACACTATTAATTTTATAAGGATAATATTATTATTGTAAGTTCAGTCTTAATATAGTTAATTTAATTAGTATCTTTGCATTTGGTTAGTAATTCTATATTTTTTTCAATATTAATTTACAAAGGAGAATCAATAAGTAACTCACAATAATTATTTTCAAGCAAACAAAGTAACCACCAAAGTAAATACCAGAAACAAAGTTAAGGCAACTGACAGCAAGGGACAACCATTAGTAAGTTTTTGACACATGAACCATTCCTTTTGATTTGTTTGTTCCACTGTGACAAGCTTAAAGATGCCTTGTTCATAGTACTTCATATTCTGATTATACAACAACGATTGGAAGACTGCACTTTTCACTTTAACATCACAGGCAAAGTGTTGACCCTCCAAGAACTTAATGGGATGAAAGAGATAAGTCATTTGGGACTAAAGGGGGTGCATAAGGACCTCCCAGCCATACCTAGCAATTTGTGCATGCCCTGTGCTGGACATGTAGATGTGCATTATCATGAAGGGTTTCATTCAGATCAAATATCACAAAATGCACGGTACAACTTGTGCAAAGTTTTCATGTAGATTGCAGTGGTAACGGTTGACCTGTAAGAAAGGAATTCCACCAGTTGTAGGCTCTTGATGTCCCGGAATACTGTAACAAGATCATCTTGGCAGACTACACCCAAAACTTCTTTGCTGGTGGGGATGAAGGATGTTTCCAGACCACACTGGCTTGTTTTGTTTCTAATGTGAAATGGTAGGCTGTGATTCATCACTGGTTATTATGGTTTAGAAAAACCTGTTTCCTTCAATAGCATATTGCTGCAGATGGTGTGATGATTCTCATGCCCTGCTATTTCAGACTCAATTACTTAGAGACCCATTGAGTACTGATATTGTAATACTGCAATTTTTTGTGGACAATATTATAAGCTATTCCATATGAAATGTTTATAAGGTTGGCTAAAGTCTGTAGATGGATACAATGATCTTTCCAAATTGTCTCATTAATTCATGCAACATTGTTGGTGGACATGCTAACCAGGTGGCCAGGACATGGCTAATCAGCAAGTGCATCTCACCTCTCAGAAAAACTTACACATCTAGGTATATAGTTACAGTCCATGTACATATTCCCGTACACTTCTTTTATCTTCGTGTGAATTTGTATGGGCATTTTGCTTTTAGCCTACAAAAAATGCACAACAGTTCATTGCTCAAGTAGTGTGGACAATATCAACACTACTTGACATCTTTGCTAGTTCTTGTGCACCACTAGAAGGACACCTCATGCAGACCTATCTTTTGGTAAAGGGAGATTCACTGTACTCCTGACCAGGGCTGTGGAGTCTGAGTTGGGAGGAATTTCTGGCCAGAGGAGTCTGAGTCGAAAAAAATGTGTTAACTCCAACTCTTGCATTTTAANAATTAATTTAGCAAAGACAGTTTTAATTAGAAGTCTTGTGTAGTTTATGATAATATTTATAAATGTAATAAAATTAGTATCTCAGTAAGTAAATAAACAAACTCGGAGTCAAGAAAAATTTCAGAGTTTTTAAAGAGAAAACGTGAGAGAGAAATCCCAACTTTAAAGAAGTTAATATTTCTTTGATGTTTTAATATTATTTCAGATAAATTTAAATATGTTTAATAGGTTTCTCCCAATTCAAAGAACATCTTAGTGTTTCAAAGTTGTTTGATAAAAATTAATCATTAAATTAGGGTTTAAGTTTTAGTATGGTCTTTTAAAAAAAGACAAATGTATTTAAAAGTTATTTCTATAATTTATAACTTTATTTATTTTAAATTTTATCTGTTTAAAAACTTTTCAGTTTTATTGGACATTCACTTGGAAATATTATAATTCGTTCAGCTCTTGCAAGGCCAGAGATGAAACCATATTTGAATCAACTTCATACTTTTCTGTCTTTATCAGGTCCTCATTTGGGTACACTCTATAACAACAGTGGACTTGTAAATATGGGTAAAAATTATATTCTTAATTTATATCATATTTAAAATAACATAATTTATATCTTATGTTACTTTAGATTTTAAATTAAAGTGTCGTTATTTTTCTTAATTTTATTAGTGTTGAAATTGAATTCTATGATGATTGTGAATAAAATTATATTTTCTTATACTTTTTAAGAATTTTGTTTTTAATTCTTTTTTCCCTGTGGGCACTAAGAGGACCTCCTTTAGCAAGCCCATTATGAGTTTAGCCAGGCCCGCAGTCCCTCACCATCCAGCTCATGGGTTGGCTGGGTGGTGAGGGATGGAGCTCAATATATCCAGACGGGCCACCTTCAAAAAATTCCTGGGGATTTTTTGACTTGTCTGGATTTAATCCCAGGTCCCCCAGAGCAGTAGGCTGCCACCTTGACCGCTTGGCCATTTGGCCATTTTTAACATATTAATTCTTATAAACTACAATAAGTTTTAATAAAATTCAAGTTTACAGTGATGTTTTGGCACCTGTTTTAATCTGGACAGAATTGAGAGAAGACACTTAAAATTTCCAAAACTGCCAGACTTGTTCACTGACTTGATCGTTCAGTTAACAAGTCTAGTAGCATGTATTCATTTAAATTGTCTGCTTTGCAGTTGTTACTGATCACTGTATTTTGTGTGATTTTTAACTCATATTACTTGTATTTAATTTTGGCTTCTAAAAAGATGAATATGTCAATAGTATCAAATATAAATTAAATATATTTTAAATATGGACTAGTGTCTGTTTCTAACAGACCATAATGCTTGAAAATATATTTTCACAATTTGAAAATCAAGACAATATGAATAATTAAAAATTGAATTATGACTATTTACAAAAAATTTTATAAAATTTTTCAAATATATCTTTCATCCTTTTAACACACCACAGAAGTAACAGTATATTGTATATTGGTTTGGATAAACTTCCATAGAACACGTGATAAATTATAAAGAGAACACACAAAGTTAAAAATGATTGAAACGCCAACCTTTTATTTGAGGATTCAGCATCCTTTAACATTAAAACAATTATTTTGTAAATAGTCATAATTCAATTTTTAATTGAAGATATCCTGGGTTGTTCATGTTATCATGTATGCTGTTATGAATATGAATAATGTTTAAGGCCTTTAAATCCTTTATCATTCCATACAGTCACTGGATGGAATGATAGGTGACTTGAAGCGAAAAACTTCATAAAACCGATAAACACTATTACAAATTACACATAAAAAATGATCTTGATGTTGATCTTTCATTGTAGGATTCAATGTCAACAAACACTAAAAAGGTGTTAAAGTTTTTTAACAGCATCCATGTTATACAATCGCACTTATTAACTGAAAGTCCTCTAGTGATTGTTTGGGCAATTATAGATCATTTACACAATCATTCATGAGCCCAGGATTATTTTCACATTTGGAAAAATATTTTCACAATTCCTTAGAGACATGAGATGCATATAATCAGTGGTTGGTTTAGAAAAACTGTTAATTTAAAAATACAAAGCTTTTGATTATGCTGGAAAATTAGTGGTGATCATAATAAATGCTTTCAAACTTTCCTTGAGTCAACATCATTTCAAGCAGAACACTTAAACAAAAATAAAGTAAAAAATATATTAAACATAATATAAAAAGAATAGAAGAAATGTTTTCAAAATTTGAAAAATTAATAAATAAATTTTTTATACAAATAATATTAATGTAAGTTAAATATGAAAAATACTAGCTATAAAAGTATTTGGATAAATGCCCCAGTTCTTCAGCGTTCAGAGTAGGATACCCCTCTATGAGCTCTTCCTTCCATAAAATGACTTAGTATTTAATTTTGCCAGAGTCAGTGTACTAAAATTATCAGGAGTCAGAGTCGAGTGCTTTTTTACCAACTCTGCAGCCCTGCTCCTGACCCAGGTTTCACCACATTGCCACTAATTGTATTCCTGCAATAAAATACTGTGAGTAACTTATTTGTTCTCCTTTGTATTGAAATTAGTATTAAAACCAGGGCTGTGGAGTCGCGTAAAAATCTACAGACTCCGACTAGGGGCAGACTTGTTACCGAAAGAGACCTGGAAATTCTGATGTCATCACGTGACCTCAGAATAAAATATTCAATAAATAGAGTTGTAATAAAGATAGAGCATAGAAACTTTTTATTCCAAAGCTGAAAGACTTCTCTAAGTAATATATAAATGATAATTATGAAAACTGCAGAAAAATTAACTGACACTTTTTAGATTGGAAACTGAATTAAAGCTGTAGCAAGCTCAGGTATATTGTCCTACAGATTTACACCGATTTGGTAGAACACATTATTAAACACTTTTCTTTTCTCAAACTCATTGTTAATACTTTTTAGTTTTTTGTCCATTGCTAACTTAATATGAGAAACCTTTAAGTTGCTGTTCAATGAAATGTTCAATTAAAAATGCCTGTGAATAAATATTTATCTGATATCTCAGATATTAGATAGTTTATTTTTTACATGAACCCATTGATAAATATTTCAGGTGATATGAATGAGCAAGCTCAACATTTCACACACACACAAAATTTAGAATCACATCAAATCTCCTTTAAGAAGGTTTGACTATCTCAGAATGAATGTATTCAAAATATGCAGAATAATCATCAACAAGCCACAAATATTCAATGAATTCATATCAAATTAGTCAAATGCACAATTGCCTAACAACAGTTTATTTTACTTTGGAAATTGGATTAGTATTGTCAAATATAAATTTAATGAGGATCCATAATTATCAAAATGTAATAAAGGAATAGTATTGTTATATATTTTTTAAAAATATATTTAAAGGAACTCATGATTAAATCAAAATTTAAATTATAATTTAATGTTGATGTGGTTTATCAAGAATCTTTAAATTTTGAACGCAATGCTACTGAGTATGCTGAAATGACGATGATTGTTCTATTGTCTTAATAAATTATATTTAAGTTTTGAAAAAATTTGTAAAATTCATTAAATCTAAAACAAGAAACTTTCTTAATAATTTCCTTTTTGAATCATGCTTGTATTAAATTATCTTCAACAGGACCCAAGATTGACATGAAAGAAGTTGTTTAAAACAAAAAATGTCAGTCACCAATTGTATATATAAGATTTATATTTAGTTTAGTTATTTAATTGTAGTGCATATATAAAATTTAGTCATTATGTAGTTAGCATTGTATTGATATTTATTCAAAATTTTTTCTATTAAATCTAAAACAAGAAACTTTCTTAATAATTTCCTTTTTGAATCATGCTTGTATTAAATTATCTTCAACAGGACCCAAGATTGACATGAAAGAAGTTGTTTAAAACAAAAAATGTCAGTCACCAATTGTATATATAAGATTTATATTTAGTTTAGTTATTTAATTGTAGTGCATATATAAAATTTAGTCATTATGTAGTTAGCATTGTATTGATATTTATTCAAAATTTTTTCTATTAAATAACTTATTGTTCTGAATATTTGACATTTATATATTTTTAAAATATAATAAATTAATAACAAAACAGATAATTTAAAACTTAGATACTTAATCTACATTAGAAAGAATTTGTGGGATATCAAATTAATAAAAATTATATAAATTAAATGTGTTTTGAACAATTTTGCAAAAGTATACATAATAATAATAATAATAAATAAAAATATATGTATTTATAGGAATGTGGTTTATGCAAAAATGGAAGAAATCAGGATCACTTTTACAATTAGCTTTGAAAGATACAATAGATGTGCGACAATCGTTTCTTTATAGATTGAGTAAACAACCAGGTAATCATTTATTAATACTATATTTACTTTAATATACAATATGATCTTGTTTTATGTTGGGGTTGTGTGTCAACAGATATTGTGTAAAACGAAATTCTTCATAAATTTTACTTCATCTCAAGTAGCAAATGTTATATAAATGTTATGTAAGTTGTCAATTACAATTAACAGAACAATGTTATGAAAAGTACAAAGTACAATTAACATTTTATTTACATGTTTCACTATATATACTGAAATTCATAGTAAAAATAGTCGGTGTGTACATTAATAATCAGAATTACTCTTGTGCATCTAAAAGTTAACTTAAGCCTGTGGTTCTCAATCTTTTTGAAGCAGGGAACACTAAACTTTGACATTTTTTGTGCGGATACTTACAATACATCAGCTTTAAAGCAGTGGCAAACCTTTTTGAAATCTAGAGTGCTCTCAGTCTAGTATATGACATTGGCGTTTGCTGATTACATTCCATACAAAAATTATTTTACATTGTATTGATTTTTCTTTTGCAACAATTTTTAATTGTATATTTGATTTTTTTGCAGAATACTTGAAGTGACTTCACGGAGCACCCATGTTCCGCAGACCATGGATTGAGAACCATGGACTTAAGCAATTGTCATCTGCAAAAACACAAATTCACATATATCAGTCCTACATAAAATTACCCTAATATAGTAAATATCATTAGCAATTTTATAATAAATCTTCAAAATATAATTTATTGCTTTAATATATTGGTACCTCAAAGACAAAGGACTGTCACAAGAACTAAATTTTTCAGGAGAAGTAAAAATCAACTTTAAGTTTTTTGTGTGTTTGTAATTCAGAAAGTACAATCTGTTGTTCTTTTCTCTATACCTCTGTGATCAAAAAGTATCTGAAATGGTTCAATAAAATGCAATATTTTAATTTCTTCATCAAAATTTATTTCATCTTCAAAGTAATCTCCTCCCACTGCAATTCACTTACACCAACATTTTATCCAATCCTCAAAACATGCTTTAAAGTTGTTTTAGTGAAACTCCTTCAGGACTTGCAGCAAATTTTGTTTTATGGCATCAATCAACTCAACAGTGACCACAAAAAAGAAATTTTAGTAGAAGAAACAGGAACAAGTCACACAGGGCCATATTAGATAAATACAGAGCTTGCAGAACCATATTTGTTGAATTTTTGTCCAAAAAGTCATGAACAACAAGAGCATTTTGAGCATGTGCATTATTGTAGTGCAAAATCCATAAGTTTTCTCATCACAAATTAGGTTGTTTTTTACAAATGACACGAAACACTCAAATAATAATCTTTGTTTGACAGTTTGGCCAGTCAAAAGAAATTCATGATGCACAACACCATGACAATCAAAGAAAACAGTCAACGTGACTATGATTTTTGACTGACTTTGACGTAGTCGTATCAGTTTTGCTTTACCTTTCAAGCACCATTCACTTGATTGCTGAGCTGTTTTGGTGTCAAAAGTGTAGATCCACGTTTCATCATCCATAATGATGTGTTTTAAGAACTATTTGCATTTCCTCAGCCACTTGAACCCATTGTTTTTGGAAAAAATTTAATGTTTTTGGGACAACTGATAAATAAATATATAATAATGTTTAGTATTTTAGTTAATTTATTACAAAAACTAAGATTATCCAAGGAGAATAGAATATCATAGAATAGAAATATCATAAATTATAAATGAGTTAAAAGCAGGAAAAAATAAGAGAGATAGATAATTTTAGGAACAGGAGAAATCAAAATAGAATTACTAAAATATGGAGTTGAAAAGGTTTAAAAGTTGGTTACAAAATTACTCAACATTGTTATCAAAGAGAGATATAATTTTAAGAAATGTCTATTGGGGTTTAACAAGGTAAGTGTGTTTTGCAATCTTAATGGTAAAAAAATTTTTTGTAAAACATTGTAAATTAATTTGTAATTTAAAGGCAACCTAAGAGGAGCAAAAAGCTTGAAATGCATCTTGCATATATATGGATAATCCAAGTTTGTTTATTGGTCAAGAAAACAAATTAAAAAAAAAGGGCCTTGCATTGCAGCATAGAATAAGGTGCAACCTGGTTCTACACTATTGTGAGAAACTGGGGGGGTCAGTGGATACCAGTTTAAACCCCCTTGAACCAGCGACAGTCTGGTGAAGACTGCTCACTTTGTCACTGGATGGTTGACCTGAGTGACAGAGGGGTGATAAGTCCATTGAATAGGGTGTTGGTGCCTAATAAGTTCACACAGGAACAGGTTAACTACCAAAAATAACAATTTAATGAACTAATGTAAAGTATACAAGATTACAGACAGATATTTGCAACATAATGTCCGATACTTTGTTCTTGGACTAACATATCAACTATATACTAATTCCCCTTAAATGCTAAAAGACTGAGAGAGAGAGAGAGAGAGTTTACAAATGGAAGTACAATTCTAAGTATGATACTCATGAAGATAACTTGATGTTTATGGATCCTATTCATACAATGTCGAGGAGACGATCATGGATCTAATTGAGAATTGGTGGTCCATAGGCTGTCGGGGAGCTGGCAGGTAGAGCTTTATCTATGCTTCTAGTATTTCCACCCCGAGACATGAGTTCTAACCCCTTTTATATGTGTTGAGCGTGGGAGAGAAGTCAGGTGACTTTGATTTAATGTGGTCTAAGTTTGAGCCTTGTCCTGGTTCGGCTGATACAAGTTGTCAAGAACTGGACAATTCAGCCAAATTATTGATACTTTCTAGCCATTGTTGTGACTCATCTTGCCACATAATTTCATTTGTTTTGACAATTTCCTATAATTAATAATTATTTGTTTGGATTTTCTCAAATTCAAAACACTTATTCTTATTCAAAACATCTTTAAAATTGTTGATTTGTATGGTTATTTGATCATTCTTATCTATCGGATCAGAGGTCACTGGCAATGCCAGGTGGTGGAGAAAGGAAGTGGCTTTTGCCACTTCTGTATTAACTGCTCATCAGTTTAACTAATTAATCTAATTACTAAATTGCCCCCTCCTGAATCTCACACTATCAAAAAAAAGAATGAATTAATAATAATTGAAAATAAAATTAAGAATATAGAACACTTCAAATATTTAGGCTCAACCATTGACAAGATAGGTACTTCAAACACTGAAATTAATAGTAGAAGAAATAAAACCAGAAAAGCAATAAGCATATTAAATTCTATCTTATCAAACAGAAACAACTATTGACAAAAACAAAAAACTCGTTTCAGAAGCATATAGTAAAATACTTTGTATTATGGTACTATAAATATGAACCATAAGTAATGTAAATGAACAGTGTAAATGAACAGAATTGTTAGCAACTAAGATGGATTTTCAAGACAATCACAACAGGGATATTGAGATTAGAAAAACGTACAAATCCATAAATCAGAGAAAAAATGGAAATAAAGTAAAACATTATGACTGTCATCAGAAGAAAAGATGAAATGTTATTCCCATGTAAAGATGATGACAGAAGAATACCAAAACTGATAGCAAACTGGGAACCAGAGGGAGAGGAGAAGCTGACCAAATATAAAATGTGCAGAAAAGGCCAAGAAGAGCATGGAAAGAAGAGGATGCAGCAGTAGACAGAGAAAAATAGAGGACAAGAACAGGAGACATTTTTGATGAGGAAAACATTAGTAATGAAGATATCTTAGAAAAAAGCATTCAGCATGAGCATAATCATTTATTCAAAACTACACAATTATTTTGCAACATATTAAGGTTTAAAAATCAACCAAAAATGTAAAAACTTAATTCCCAACTAAAACTTTTATGTGAGTAGCAGGGGGCCACTGGGTTAAAGCCTAATGACCACTTAATCTGCACGGGTTGGAAAGACCCGTTCTCGGTTGTCGGATGGCAATAGGAGGGCTAAAAATATGAGTGGGGAGGAGTCGGAAGTCGTAATCAGGTGTCCAAAAGACTACACGGGTTTAAATTAACGAACACATTTAATAAACAACTATGAAAATTTACACAAAGATATTAAATACAACATACGTGTATCAAGATAGGTATTCTAAAATCTATTCTAACCTAACGCTAAAATCCGAGAGAGAGCTCACGTTAGAGAGAGATAAATTATAATGGCAAGGGTTTATCTTGAAGGCAACGTTCTCCAGTTATAGGGCGTTGATAAAACACTCTGTGATCGTTGTCTTCTAATCCGAGGTGTCCTTTGAAGGCTATGTGGAGCGATGTCCTGTTACGGTGTATGCTCCGTCGCTCCCAATATGTAGAGTTCTTCCTTGACGAAGTTCTTGGGAGGTTTGCAGAGGGGTTTCTTCGGCTTAAGCGCCCTGGCTCAGCCCCGAGTAGAAAATCCGACCCCTTTATATACCTGATCAGCGTGGGAAAAATCTGAGAATAGTTGACGTCTTTTGACAGTTCTCCCTGATTTATGACAGTCTCCTGCGCCGTAGAGAAATTCATACCTTATTTGGTCATTTATTGTCCGGTCGCTCGGACGTATGGGGGTCACGTGACATCGTGGTCCCTTGTCGATGACCTTCGGACGACGAAAGTCACTCTCACTAACTACGCAGTTAGTGTGAAAATAAAAAACATCGTTCGTAGTCTCACATTTAAGTTTACTAATAGATATCATATGACTTTGCTAAGACATGATATCTATAGTAACTTCATTTTTTCTTCAAAACACTGGTTATGACAAAATATGATCCAAACACTTTAAAGTTCTTCACTGATCTTATATTAAGGTTTTTAGACTCTCTGACTACAGAAAATAGTTACTAAATATAAACTTTCAATTTTTTGTAAATAAGATTCTTAGAAAGATTTTTTTTTAAATATGAAATAAACTTACTTTAAATGAATCATAATATTGCTATTATAATACTGTTTAAGATAAAAAGATCTACTATTTTAATTATAAATAATTTAGCTAATATAATTGATCATTTTGTAAACTTTGATTTATATCTTTTGCCATAAGCATGTTTTTCATATTTCTTCTAAAGATTTATTAATATCATTTGTAAATCTTACACACAGTTTTTAAAAAAGTAGTAATTTTTTTTTATTTAATTATTTAGGGCTAGAATACTTTCAGAATGTTCTTCTATTTGGATCATCCCAGGATCGTTACGTTCCATTACATTCTGCTCGTATTGAGTTATGTAAAGCTGCTTTAAAAGACACTTCACCACAAGGTTCGAATAGTAATTAAAACTTTTATATTTCAGAAATTTTGCATTAATTTTAAGAATAATTATTTTAAGTAAATTATAAAGAAAAGTAATTTGAGAATAATAATCTTAAAAAAAAATTGATGATTATAAATGATCTATCAATGTAGATCAAATTATTATTCAAATAATAAAATTGTTCTGAAATGTTGAGATCCTCTGATAATGATATTTATAATAATAATTTTAACTATAGTATGAATGAAATTTTAGAGAAATTTATATTGAAATTATTATCTTTAATATTTTACAGCTTTTGTTATCCTCCAAAAATTTGAATACAGAACTTTAAAGAAAATTTCAGTTTTATTTGTGTCTAAAGTTATGTACATAAGCAATCCAGCCATTCCAATTTATTAATATTAAACCAGATATCTTATAATCAGAATTATTAGGCTAAGCTTGTACTACTAATTTAATTGATTAACTATATGATTTGACAAAAGAGAGGAAATTAGGCTACTCTCTTATATTAATATTAATAATAATTAGAAATTAAATAAAATACTTCAGAATTATTTAGAAGAAAAGATAGCCCAGTAAAGATTACAATTAGATATTTGATTTGGTCTCAAGTTATGACTTATTTTAAAAGAATAAAAATTTGTTTATTAAAAATTTTTACTTCTTTAAATCTTTTTAGTTTTAAAAATTATATAGAATTAAAAAAATTCAGCAATTCTTGATGCAATTCTGACTTTTGAATTATAAAAGCCATACATTTCTAGCTAAGAATTATATTGGCTTCATCACAATAAAATTGTATGAAAAATTCTATTATCATAGTTTTTCCAACACAATTGAAGATTTACTTTTTATGTTGATCTTATATTTGCTCAGATAACTTTTTATTACAAATAATTATAAAATGAGTTAATTTTAAAATGTTTAATAATAATTAATTATTATTAAATACAGCTTTTCTATATATTGTTTGTAGTAAATGATGAAAGTACACTGCATTACCTGAAATGTCTATATTAATTTATTTCATTATATTTGATTGTACTAAAAAATGATAAATGAACTATATTTGTGTCTTTGCAATTTTAATTTTCTCCCAGTTATGATGATTAACAATGGCATAACTAGGTATGACTACGGTGTCCTGCCTATCCAAAAGGTTGTCTGGCCCCAAAAAAATTTACAAAATAATAATAATAAAAAACTTAAAATTGAAATAAAATTAGAGTTTTTAATATAAAACTTATTATATGGTGTAGTTAATGCTAAATTAAAGAGCCTAAGTAGTAGTTGGTCATACGTTAATGTATTTATTTGGTTTACAATTTTTATAAAATAAATAAGAATACCAAACTTAAATACTAAATTTATTTTATAAGTTTTGTCATTGTGAGCAGATGAGAAGCTTGCAAAACAATTGTCACATTGTATAAATAAAACAATTACTAATGGACATGCATGGGGTTAGCTGATAGCATAGCATTTCTGCAAGCTCAACCAATCAGAACACAGCTTTACAGCATCTGGTTTGGGAAGAGATGAGAAATATATAGAAGAAACATCTTATTGTATAAATAAATGCCTTGTCAATCAGCTGACAGTTTCATTCCAACAATTTACAGATGACCAAAATAGTGATTGAGTGCATTCAAATGTAATTTTCTAAGTTAGGAGATAAAGAAATCCCAAGATTAAATATAAATAGTTGTTTTGAAGAGAGGACTAACAGTACTACTGTGTGAACAAACAAGAATGAGACAAGTATTACTATACAAGGCAATCCATTATCGTAAAATGTTGGTGATAATTGACTCAGCTGAAGAAGTTCAGAGCAAAGAAACTGGAAAAGGTGAAACTTAGATATGGGTGTTTTTGAAAGTGGCCTATCTCTGCCTCCAATCAGTTTTCAAAGAAGTCAGTTAGGATATAGGCAGTGATTGCTCCCAGCCAAATACTATAACAAAACTACCTTGAATATAGTATAAAAGACAACAACTTATTACATATAATATATTTCACAAAGTTTATTTTTTTCTATACTCTTTTCACCCTTTTGAACTAAGAGGACCATTGTTTTATATCCTCTGAAGATTCAGCCAAGCTCACTATGGGGTGGCTGGATGGTGAGAAACTTGGATCCAACTTATCTGAATCATACCACCCACAAAAAATTCCTGTGGAGTTTTATTCCAGACTAACACTAACCATCTTGGCCGTCTGGCCATCAAGCTTCTAACTGAGATTGCCTTGAAGAACTTCCAGATTTTCGATTTCTTTAGTGTTTTTTTTTTTTTAAATTTTTATCTGTTTTTTTCTTTTAAATCTTTATAAAATAAATAAATGAACATAATATCATACTCGTATTTTGCAGACAGTGTTGCTGAATTTGTAAATTCAGCAACACTGTCTGAAAAATTATTATTTGAGTTTATTTTGAATTGGCATGCAATTTCTTTTTATGGTTTGGACTAGTTTCAAATTTCCACACTACAAAATCACAAATTGACTTAAAAATTCTGTTGTGCAAGTTGTAATGTCAGTATTGTAGAAATGACAACAAAACTAAGCTATTGTATTTTATCTTTATGATTTAAAGATAAAATGCAAGGATTTGGATTTGTGAAGTTTTAGATCAAATCAATACTTGATGAATCCAAGATCAAAATTTACACATTTTAATAGCATGGTTACAAATGGTTTCTTCAACCATCTGTCTGCAAAAAAATTACACCAGTCTGCAGAAAATTATTTGACTAAACTGAAGCTTGCACAGTTGATTACGAATGACATTTAAATAGTAATCTAGAGTTATTGCACATACTTTCTTATGTATAATAATTCTAGATAAGCATATATAAGCTTAATAAATAAACATAATTTATAGTCACATGTAATTACTTGATCCACATAAAATTATCCATAATTTTACTGGTCCACAGTGAGAAACAGGTTGAAGAATCCTGGTTATGAAGAAATCAGTCAGATTAAAGGTAAAAACTCAGTGGACGTATTTGGTAAACTGATTTATATTATGAAACCAGATTTTGTCTTCTATTTTTTGTTTCAATGTTGTTAAAATCAGGAGGAAGGAGTGAGGGTCTGAGTTTTAAAGTAGCATATATTTTTTTGGAGGATTGTAGAGAGTAACTGTGCAAAATTTGTTCAGATTGCTCAAAAGGTTTAGGAGTTTGGGGTAGGGGATGAAATCAGATGAAGCACTAGGAGTCCATGTTCCCCTAGGGTATCCGAAACCAAATAGATAAGCTAATAAGTTTAAAAAACTCACCAAATGGCAGAGGAGATTGACCTTGAACAGAGCAGACAAATGACAAAGTGAGCAAATGCCATGGTAAAAACATCTTTTGCCTGCATTTTCCTTTTTTAATATGAAAATAGTATATGGTCTATGTTCATCTGGAAGGAATAAGCTTTCCAATAGCAAAAGAATTTAAAAATTGGTTCAGTAGATTCTAAGATTATCTTCAGTAAACAAACAATCTTGTTTTTTACATTGATATATAGATGAAGATATTGATTAACAATAATACAAAGGACCTTTTGTACAAATGTATCTACGAAACATATTTATTATATTTATATATTTTAAGAAGAAAAATATTAAAAGTAACAAACATGAACATTTGGAAATGGATAACAGTAAATTTTAAATGGATAACATTAGCTAGTTTTACTAGTGCCATATATTTTATAAAAACAAAAAGTGACCTTGAAGATCAATTTTTATATTAAAAAAAATACACAAATAATAATAATAAGTAGAGAAAAAATTAATTATTTAAAATTATATTTTTCAATTTTCTGGCACCCTTACAAGAAGTTCACTGGATCGATGACTAAGTATGCCAAACAAAACCTTTATAATCCATACTGAATGAAGTTTATAGCATTTTGATTGAGAACTGCTGAATTAATAAATTAGCACAAATATATTTATTTTACATTAGAATTTTTTAAAAAGTTTGATATAATATCTTTATTTCATGAATTGTACTGAAGATAGGTAAATTTTCAAGAATATTTTGCACGAATATGCAATAATTTTCTATTATCACAATGATCTTGATGACTGTAACACAGCTTTTATTCTGAAAAAAGGAAAATGATCAAACAAATTACTGAAATACAGAAGAATATAATGAATATTTTAGACTTCAAAAATTCCTTAATTTCAATTGTAATTAAACACACTATGCTATACTTTTTAAGATAGAAAGCTTTATTCTTAACTAAAAGTTGATTTGAAAATGTTTATCTTTAAAGATAAATTAAGAAGAATGATCTTCCATGCAAATTAGCTTTGAAAATGATAGTCCAATTGTTTGCAAACTAATTACACTAAGTTTTACTCTTAAAGTTATTAAAAGTTAGCAAAAAATTAACATGGATATTCCTAAGTTTATTTTATATTTTGCCAAATTAATTTAGTTTGTTTTTTTTCTTTTTAGGTGTTGCTTATCGAGAAATGGTTGCAAATCTTCTACAGCCAATAATTAGCAAACCCGATATTGTGTTCCTTCGTTACGACGTACATCACGCACTTCCCAGCAGTGCAAATTCACTCATAGGTCGGGCGGCTCACATAGCCGTCTTAGACTCTGAATTATTTATCGAGAAATTCATGGTGGTGTGTGGACTCAAGTATTTCTCGTAGATCTCAGGAAACATTAAATTTTTTTAAACGAAAAGATGGACAACAATAGGTTATTGTCGATTAGAAAATCTAATTTCCACTTTGTGCGCAATGAATTTTTATCACATTTTGTTAATTATTGCCACAGCCTTTTTTAAATATTTGTCCATTCATCTTAGTGATACCAATATTTTCTATGTTTATTAATAACAAAAATTTTTAATTGAAAATTGAATGTTTAAAACCGTGCCATTCCACCTCTATTGTACATATTTTCATCAAATGTGCATTTTTCCACATTTCAGTCCAAGAAAAAAAATAAAGAAATGTGGTAACTGATATAGCCACAAGAAGTCTTTCATTACAATACAATCATGCAGCTCAGTTTGAATCTTCTGGTTGTGGATTGTAATTTATTTATTACAAAATGTATATTACTGTCCATGTATTTTAATGTTCCTTATCTGTCCAGAAAAAGTGAAATGTGTATACGATGTTTTTTAGTATCGAGTATAGAGAGAGAGAGATGTTAAATTTACAAAAATAATTGTTTGTATTATATCTGCTAGAAACAAATTACAAATATATTTAAACTGTTATTGTATTTTATAATAATTATAATTATCACATATCAGTCAAAAATTCACTCTTGATTAACGAAAAAATCATTTTTTACAAAATAAAATGATTTAAATTGTCTGTATTTTTAAATCAATTAAAAATTTAATTACTTATAATTAAATGTGATTACCGAAAAGTTTAAGCTGTAATGTATGATCCAGTTTTTGAGAAGTTTTTTTTTTATGTAAGACAAAAATCTCACTATTTTTTGTTTATTTAGAAGTAATTTTTAATTAGATTTGACATTTATTTATTTGTTTGTTTAGTTATTTAAATGAATTTATTTAGAATGAAAAATTGTAAAAATCATCATCATTGTCATTTCTGATGTGAGGATTACATAAAGAATTTTTATTACAGATTTTATAAAAGTTGACATTTTATGACAAAATGGTACAGCAACAACTCCAACTTCTTATATGTGAAAGAAAATAATTATGAAATAAGTATATATCTTTTGGCAAAAAATTACTGTACCTTCATTTAACGTTGTTCAGATTTTGTCATTTTTTATATAATAAACGATATTATTTTGCATTAAACTGTATTAAGAATAATGAAAGTTAATCTGATTTTAAACATATCATCGCATACTTTTCTGGTTAAACTTCTTTTCCTTGAAAATTGCATTTTTATTAACAGTCATTTAATATTTAAATCAAGTTAGTTTAAATATTTAATTCGTTAAGTTTACCAGCAGTTTTCTAGAGACGAAGTTTGGCCATGTTTTAAACAAGAATTTTCGTAAGTATTTTCAAAGTAGTTCATTTCTGAACGAGTTAAGTACGCGATCGAAGAATAGCTGGATTAACCATTAGGCAAAATAAGCACGTGCTTAGGCATCAAAGAATGGACACTAAGAAATTTTCCACTGCCTGATTTACAATGAACCATATGGGACAAAACTATAAATGGTGCAGCTGAAAAGTCCACAAAAAGAAACCCTCACAATAAATGGAAAAAAGCATTTACTGGCGTCATTCAGTTCGAAAACTAATGTTTTGATTTATTATTGTGTTATATATTGAATTACATATACAGTATATGAGGCACCAAAATCTTTAAGTGCTTGCGTCCTCTAAAAGTCGTAATTCGGCCTTGGTGATCGTTGTTACTTCTCTTATTTACTGATTCAGCTGCAGGACACTGAGATTATAAATGATAAAGTATCTCATTGTAATTTCGTGTCAATATCGTATCCCTTTTTCATAGGAACTAACTGCCAAACGTTCGAATTTGAAATCAGCCAAAGTTCAGTTTGTTGGTCATAAGAGAAATTCAATTCTAAGATGGCATCCAAGTTTCAAAATAGTTATAATAGTGGAGAAGTTACTCGTATATAAAAGTTACAATAAGTTACTCGTGTATAAAAATAGATCCATTCAGAATCCTATTTACGCTTTTACCAATCATTCATATCCAATAACCATTCATACTTGTCATTAGTAATAGGATAAAGTACAGGGTGATTAAAGTCACAGAAATTTTAAAAAATTAATAACACTCAAACTATTTACAGTAAAATGATGCGGTTTTCAGAGAAATGCTTAAAGTGAGATTTTTTTGTGTAATAAAAATTTTAGTACCAAAATAGTTACAAACCGCATCGTCTTACTGTAAATAGTTTGTGAGTTATTAATTTTTTAAAAAATTTCTGTGACTTTTGAATCACCCTGTATATTTGAAGCTATACGTGCTATCCTAGATCCTCTTTTTAGATACTTAAACGGTTACATTTTATTAATTACTGTTTTTAAATATTGCAAGCAAGTAAATTGACAGGGTTTACATATAAGCTGTTGTAACTATCAATTGTAACTAGTAATTAATTGTTACTTACATTAGTACTACTACCAGTCTGTAATTAACAATTAATTACTAGTTACAATTGATGTTCCAGTTTAGTAATTAAACTACTAGTTAACTACGTATTTAGTTTCAATTGCTGTAACTACGTTGCAGTTTTCCTTTTTAATTCACTGTAATGTATTAATATATTAAATAGTGCATATACCTCGATTTTTATGAAGATTGATTCAACTTTTCAGTTAACAAATATGGTTTTACTCGCTCGTTTTGAGCGATTGTAGTTCGAAATTTTTATATTGTCAGTCGAATTCAAACAAAACCAATCACGTTTTTCTATTTTTGCCACGCTCATAGGTAAGAAAGTACAGGCTTGTCTTGTATGTTATTTTATTTTATTTTATTTTATTCCGTACTTGCATCGAGTTACTACGTATTACTCTACTCCGTAAAATAGTTTTCGGGAATTTTCATGGAAAAATCGGAAATGTAGAAAACAAAGTTGGTTTGAGTGTGTTGCACACAATGGCCTAACTATAAATTTCGGTCACTTAAGCAAAATATTGTAAAAAGGCCCTCCAATGCTTAGAACCTAACCCTGCACATTCGTCGCGATGGTATTGAAATTTAAACAATATTTTTTAATTGCAAATTTTAAATCGTCCCTTATCAGAATAAGCACATAATAATAATAATAATAATAAAATATGTCTTATATAATTAAAAAAAATTCTCATATTTATATTGTCCGCAGAAACAGTGCTTAGGGCCTGGTCTGGACGCCTTTTATTCATAGACCCTTAAGCATCGTTTATTCGCGCTTACTAATGGTTACACAACTGGCATTCAAATAGTGTATTTTTAGAATATAGCGCTAGAATAGTTTCAACTACTTTTACAAAAACAGACAAACTAACTAACAGTTAAATTACATCGCCTTTTAACTACCTTTTAATAGTTAGTACTCATCATTACTTGTAATATAACGAGACGTCACTTTATTAAGTATACACAACTAGTATCATGTTAAGCCTTCTTTAATCTTCAGAACAGCCTGAATTTATCTAGCCATGGATTCAGTGAGATATTGGATATGATGTACAGAATGCAATCATGAGTTATCACGTAATTCCTGAAGATTTGGAAGATATTCCTGGAGGTATAGACCTGTAGTGAACAATCCTTTTCAACTCATCCTAAATAGGATTTAGATCTGGAGACTGAGCGGGCCACTAGCAAAGTGGTCATGAAACCATTCCATAATGATTCAGTGTTTGTATGCTGGTGTATTATCCTGTTGAAGGTAACCATCTGACAGACTAAACTGCCAATATGAAAGGACGCATTTAATCCGCAACAATGTTTTCACTTTCTGAATGTCACAATGCGGCATTCAGAAAGTGGAACTATTATATCAACGGGCCCTTACATTGCATGCCAGGAGAACATTCCCCATGCCATTACATCACGTGTACCAGAATGTACAACAATGATGAAACGAATTTTGACTCGTCAGACCAAACTTTTCCAATCCTCGATAGTCCAATGCTGGTGTTATGCCCGCGGGTAACATGCTTTCTTGTTCTTCGTTGATAGAAATGGTACTCAAAATGGCTATCGGATTTTGTAGCCCATTCGTGAGAACATGAGACTAGTAATCCGGCGCGATTTATTCTGTCCACAAAGGTTGAAATCTGAAATGATTTGTGAGATTGTGGCCTATCCATTTACTTGCACAATTCTAGCTAGCCTTCTCCGGCTTCTGTCGTCAACAAGTAATCTTCCTCTACAGGAGTGCGAATGACTGGATGTTTTCTCTTCGTTGCACATTCTTCATGCACCATTGAAACTGTGGTGCGTGAAAATCTCAGGAGAGTTGCCATTTTAGAATGCTTTGTACAACCCGTCTTGTAGCCTATCGCTATCATGCCATGTTCAGTCTGTTAGATCCTTCGTTTTTATCCATTCTTGATACGGTTATATGTTTGACTAATGCTAGAAAGGTTGTTTTCCTGCATTTATATCGAAAACCATGCTCATATGATTTGTAAAGTAGTAGAACATCCAATTTGTGTGAAAGCACCTAATAAAGTGACATCTCAATGTATACTGAATTACTAAATTAGTAGGATTACTTTTATCACACTTTGCATGTTACTCAAGTAATTGTTTGTAACAATTATTACAATCCGAATAGATATTGGAAATACGTCTCCGTGCCACATAACCAGACGTAGTAAATCACTTTGTTTATTTGTGTATGGGCAATAATCTTATGTAAGCCTATATATAATACACTTAAAGCGGATGTTAGGATGTTTCTAACAATTTACTTTTAAATGAACCAAACTTAAATCCTTGTTATGAAACACACGAGTTCATGAAATTAATTAGATCACTTATCTGCCTTACAAAATGCGGAGTACTGATATGCTGCCAACCCTTTTTCGATATTGTTCTCATAAGCATAAAATCCCTTCAACATTTCATTACCGAACAATCTAAATGCATAATTTACTTGCATTTTTTCAAAATAATTAAGAATAATAATGTAACTTAATATATGGGCATAAATTTAAGTCTTTCTGCACTTTTTCACTAAGAGGACCATTTTTTCATATCCATCATGGGTTCGATCAGGCCCACAACAGAGCGGTCGAGTGGTGACGGACATAAATCCAAGTTATCCGGGGCATACCATCCAGAAAAAAAATCCTGGAGCGTTGCTCGCCTCGGACTTGATTACAGGTATGCAGATTGATAGAATGAGACTATAATATATCATCTCAATATCTGGTGTGGTAGCTGATGAATACGTAGATTTAGTATGTGTCGCTTTAATCCGAATTAGTAAAAACGGTAGACTTTCTCTCAGCTATTAAGTTAGGTACTCCTTTATTGCAAATCACAAATGCATTTCGGGCTTATGTGAACCCCTCTTCAGTGCAAATGCTACACATATAAAGCATAAAAAGTAAAAAATTAATTAATTTACAAATTTTTCACGCGAAGATGATTTTTACAGACAATAAATAAATCTTTTTTACATACCTCAGAAGACAGAGTAACGCTTTTCTAATTGTATGACACTCACAATGATATTTTATATAATTCAAAAGAAAAAAACACATGAATGTGTAT